GATTCTCAGATAGAATTAATGAAATAACCCAAATCCAATAATCCTATAACGACTAAATCCTAGTAGTTAAACTGATTAGTAAATGTTTATATCATATTTTATTTTTGTGTTATTTTTAATTTTGAACTCAATATATTATTAACGAATTTGATAATAATGTACTTGTCCATATAATAAAATATCTTCAAGTATCCAATAGGTTATTTAACAATCAATATTATAATATACATTTAAAGTTTTTTTCATAAAATAACCAACGTTTTACTTTATAGGTCAGCTGAATAGTAAAGTAATTTAAAAATTGTAAATTTTCATTTACTTTATTAGTAGTGTAATAAGTATGAGGGATGAAAAAAAGAGAGAAAGATTAAATACTAAATATTCCCCCTCTATTTTCCAACAATAGTTTATTCTCTTGAATGAGGAACGCATTTAGCGACGATACTTCAATATGAATTAATTAATTATTTTGCTTCTATTTTTATTAATGAATTTTTTTATTGGTCATTGGTATTTAAGTATTTCGTTGGAGTGTTTGCAGTGGAAGGTTTTCCGTATTTTCATTTGTACAAAAAAATTTTGAATATATTTTCGGAATTCAAAATCTTTCTATAGTAAAACAAGAGTGAATAACATCGCTTTAAAGTCAAACGTGAATCTTCGTGATTTAATGATATCAGACCAACATCATGATCCAATTATCACGAAGGAATGTTCTTTCTCAAATAAACATAATATTGGTTATTACACGAAAATTTGGATACAACCATAAGCTATGCGTATCAATTGATATAGACACCTATTTGACAAGCGATCGCGTCGGCAGTCCATTTTCAGTTCAGAAGATTCAATTATCTTGTTTTGATCTCCCGTATCTCTGAAGACTATAAAGGAGACTTATTTTCATAAAATCAAAACTTTTAAAGTGTAAGCTATTGCGCCTGAACGAATTGAAGTGGACGATTTTCGGGATAAGAGGTTGGACAAGAGATAACTGAGCACCATTGTGATGATAACGGCAAAAAGGCGAAATGAAAAGGACAGAATGAGTAGTGAAAACCCGTAGCTTATTAGAAAAGAATACAGTTTATAGTTTTCCATGATTATAGTTACATTAACAGCACAGTCCTAACCGTAGTTCAATACACACGTTTATAAAGATTGTTCGCTTATCATGTATTAGTTATCGCATTATAATACTTTCTTTGAAATAGTTTTAAAATTTTTGTTGTGAGTATGTGTTTTTTCTTTTTTTGTTTATTTAATTAATAATTTTATTATGCCACCTAAAACCGGTACTCTAATAAAGAATATGAATGATTCTAATAAGGTTAGTTTAACCGATGTGGTCAAATTCTTTAATAAAATAAAATAATAAAAATGTATTTTAATAAAATAATAGTTTATCAAGCATAAATTACAACCTTCGTCTTCATGATTCAAAATTTGAATCACTTTTGATAAAGTTTGATAACTTAAGTTCTAATATATTAAAATTAAAGAACGAAAACAATAGCCTCAAAAATGAAATAAGTTCATCCCACAAGAGAATTGATACACATGAATCTAAACCAAATAATATACTCTTAAATGCATTGTTTGATTTACTTCATGAATCAGAAGATAAAAAATCAAGAGCCAGTAATATTTTAATCTTTAATGTATCCGAAAATGCAAATGAAAACATTGATTCTATGGTTTCTTTAACTAAAGAATTTTTTTCTGCTCTGCAAGTACCTTTATCACCAGCAACAGTTTCGAGAATTGGTAAAATTGGTTCAAAACCACGACCACTTGAAATAGAACTCAACAACCCAGGAGATGTTCATTATGTCTTAAAATTAAAAATACAACTACGTAACCTTGACGCCTGGAAACATGTTGGTATCTTTACAGATATGACTGCGTATCAATGGTCATTGGTTGTCCAACTTAAATTGAATATTGCGGCTCGATCAAATACAGGTGACAATCATTGGATAATTTTGTACAAAAATAAATGGACACCGTATCTCGGGACAAAAAACTAATTAACCGCCCCGTATCTTCAAATTTTAACTATGTAAATAATAATAAAAGAAATTGTAATAATAGTAATGAAATCCTTCAAAAAACCATTATAAAATAAATTTTATTATAATTAAATAGAATTTATTTTATAGGATACTATCAAAATATCAGAGGTTTAAGATCTAAATTAAATATTCTCCGTTCCAATCACAGATAATAAATGAATGGATAGGACATACCCATACTAATCTCGTGTGAGGCGAGGTTCCTGGAATGGCGGCCAACTGAGGCGAATTATCAATATTTATGTTATCAATTATTTACAAAATCCATTTGCTGACTGCCAATTGCCCTTTGCGGTTTTATAATTTACTGTTTACTTAAGTACTGAGTATATTGTTTGTGAATCTGTGACTTAAGTATTAGATGGACAGTTTAGGAAAGCTAGTATGTACGTCAATACCAGCTTTTCTAAGTCCTCCACGATCTATTTGTACAAATTAATACTTTAAAGTAAACTGTATTTAATGATTTTATGAATAAAAAAAAAAAAATGTATGAACTTTTTAGTAATTAAAGTTAAAACAAATTTGTTTAACAAATTTTCAATTTTTGAAAACATGCAATGTGTTAACAATAAATCAAATATGTTTTTTGACCAAACAATTCAATTTGATAAACATCGTGATGAACTTATTACTACCATTTGTAAAACTTACTACAAATTATGATTTTTTCACGAGGTCAGGAAAATGAATGATAAAATCACATTGCGTTCAACATTTACAAAACTTATACATTTTAGGCATGAATAAATTACAACTTATTTTTAAAAATGTTGTTAAAATTAATTTGAAATTTATAATGTTATAAATAAAATGTTATCCAAATGGTTTATTCATTCGTGTTTATTAATTTCAAATCACCTCAGTTAAATTTAAAGAATGGAAAAAAATATATGTCATGGAAAGGAAAAAAAAATCGCCTCAGTTTCTTATCATTTGAGAACCAACTATTTGGGTTTATGTCCTATCCATTCATTTATTATCTATAGTTCCAATGTACCTTTACTATCACATGATTATTTTATGTTATCTGAAACTTGGTTAACTAATGACTTTAACGATAATGAATTAGGTTTTATAAATTACAATGTATTTCGATATGATAGGTTCTTGATAACTGGGGAAAATAATAGAGGCGGTAGTGTTGCTATACGCATTAGTAAAATAAATAATTCTGAATTTATTAATATTCCAATTAAATCTGTTGAATAGATATTTGTTCTGGTGACCGTTAAAAACCATACATTTATACTGGGTACATGCTACATACCTCCTTTTAGTTCAATAAATGTATACTTAGATCACTCAGAGATAATTAACTGGTTACTGCTGAAATATGGTAAAAATATAAATTATATTATAGCAGTTGATTACAATTTACCGAAAGTTACTTTTAATAATGATGAAACTGGTATAATTATAAGTGTTTCTGACACTAATCAATCTAATGTTATATTTGATATTTTTTTCTGATAATAATTTTTATCAACTCAATTCGTTCCTAAATAATAATGATTCAATGCTCGATCTTGTATTTTCATCAGACGATAATAAATTAGTTAATAAAAGTATTAATTGTCTCGTAAATATTGATAACTATCAGCCACCACTTGAAATAAGTAAAACAATTATTATAAAATCTTATCATGATAAATATAACTATTTAAACAGTAACGTATTTTTTGATTATAAAAACTTAAATTTCGAAGCAATATGTCATCTCTTAGGTGAAGTATATTGGCTTGAAAAGTTTGATAAATTATATATTAATTAGGCAGTTGATGTTTTTTTATGAAACACTTATTAGCGTAATCAACCAATGTGTCCTAAAATATTTTCCTCGTTCGTCGAAATATCCTTATTGGTTCAATAATGAAATTAAGAAATGTGTCTAAGAAAAAAATAGGTTATACAAAGTGTATATAAATCGACAGGTTCAAATGTTACTTATAATGATTTTGCATTAATCCATAAAAATAATCCGAAATATCTTTGGAAGTACGTGCAAAATATAAAAGAATCAAACTCTATACCTAAGTTAATGCATTTAAAAGATAAGTTTTCAAATAATAATGATATAGTATCTAATATGTTTTGGTGAGTATTTTTCTTCAGTTAATAATAAAAATTGTACACAAAAAAATTATTTTATGAATATTTAAATTTCTGATTCTGTGGATGTATCGAATATACAATTTAGAGTAGGGGAGATTTTCGATAGCTTAAATTGTTTAGGAACGAATATAACCCCTGGAATTGATATCATTCCTGAAATAATTTAAAAAAATTTTCATTATAGTTAAACGATTCCTATTCACTATTTATTTCAACTATCGCTGTCTACTGGTGCTTTTCCCGATCGTTGGAAAGTAAGTTATGTATCACCTGTCTTCAAATCTGATGAAAAAAGTTCAATTATTAATTATAGACCAATATCTAAAATAAGTGACCTTCCTAAATTTTGATAAATTAGTGCTATCAAAGCTTACGCCAGTCTTTAATAACATAATCGACTGCAGTCAACATGGTTTTCGAAATTCAAAATTTGTCGCAACAAATTTACTCGTTTATTATACTGACTTAGTCGAAAAAATAGAATCAGGTGGTCAAGTTGATGCTATACACACAGATTTAAGAAAATCATTTGACATAGTAGATTTTGACTTATTAATCAACAAATAAAAATTTTAGTAATAGCAAATCCTCTAATGTCATGGTTAAAATCATACTTAAAGAATATAACTCAAATAGTAAAAATAAAAAATTAATTTTCGGTCCCTTTCTTAGTAACATCAGGAGTACCTCAAGATGGTCATCTTTCACCTTTTTTATTTCTACTCTTTGTAAATGATTAGAATAAAGTATTCCTTTATGCTAAATATTTATTATTTGCAGATGATCTTAAACTATATCTAACTATTAATAATGGCAATGATAGACATCTACTATAAAGTGACATAGACAGATTCTCTATATTAACAATATTACAAAATGGCAAGACAGCACATAGGTACCGCATTCAAATTACCTTTGGATCTTTAGACTACCGAACGCTCAGTTTGTAGTGTAAAGAAACAAAGTTCTTTGGGTAAATTATTAAAGGAGATTCATTTTATTGTTTGGGATGAATCAACAGTGGCGAATAAAGGTAGTCCTGAGGCACTTGATAGAATTCCGAGGAATTTTAAAAATAATGATCGCCCAATTGGCGGAGTTGTTATTCTTTTTGATGGTGACTTTAGACAAATATTTCCAGTTGTGCTAAAAGGCACTAAAAGCGATGAAATCAACATCTGTCTAAAGTCATCATATCTTTGGTCTTACATAACATCTTTGAGATTAACAACCAATATGCGTGTACACCTTGGTGGTGATAATAATGCCAAGCTTTTCTCACAACATCTTTTGAAAATTGGTGATAGAACTTTTCAGAATGATGAGCATAGCATGATATACATAAATTCTACATTTACGATTTCGATTCTTGATCAAAATAACTTAATTAACAAAGTTTATCCTGAAATTTCTAATTTTTCCAATAAATCTAATGAATGGCTCCGTGAACGTATAATTTTGGCCACTTAAAACGACACCGTCAACATCATAAACGAAAAAGTTCTTTCCATATTCGAAGCTGATAAAAAAAAAAAAAAAAAAAAAAAAACTATATTTCCATAGATACACTTACTAATCAAGATGAAGCTATAGATATCCCGACTGAATTTTTTAACTTATTAAATCCATCTGGTATCTTCCCACACAAACTTGATTTAAAAATTGGTGCGCCTATTATTCTTATGCAAAATCTAAATGCTCCCAAATTGTGCAATGGAACGAAATTAAAAATATTATCTTTGAAAAAAAACCTTATTGAAGCTGAAATTCTTACTGGCTCAGCGAGTGGTACAATTGTATACATCCCAAGAATTCTAATGATAATAAATGAGTATCCCTTCAAATTTAAACGTGTCCAATTTCCTTTTAAACTTTGTTTTGCAATTAATAAGGTGCAAGGACAGACAATGAAAGTTGCAGGAATTGACATCAGCGATCCTTGCTTCACTCATGGATAATTTTGTGTTGCCTGCTCCCGTGTAAACTCAGAATAAAACTTACATATAATATGTGTATATTATATGCCCCTGGTGAAAAAACTTATAATATTGTTAATAAAATAATATTGGTTAATCGGTAGTTAAGTATAATTTTTCCAAAATAATAAAAATTACTTTTCAAAAAACGTAGTTTTTTTTTAAGTTTAGTATAAAATGCGAGGTATGAGTTTTATTAGTTGTCAGCCTATTTCAATTTAAAAATTATGTTGAATTCACCGCTTTCTTTCGTTGTATTTTTTATTTTAATGCGCATGCGTTACCTAAATTTTTATATGCATCAGACAGAGAGAGTTGTTAGCTGCACATGCGTATTAGCAGTCTTGTTAAGTATTCGAATACAAGTATTTGAATACATGTATTAAAATACTTTTTAAAGTATTTTTTGGTATTGTAAATACAATTTTTTTAAAGTATTTTTTAAGTATTTTGAATACTTTTTAAAAGTATTTTTAACAATTTGTAAATACTTGTATTTAAATACCACAAAGTTCGTTTTAATAATTGTATAATCATAATAATTCTCTATCCTAATAATTGTTCCTACTTCTGAGAATAATATTCGGTTATTATTGATGAATCTAATAAGTAATAAAATAATAAGGTATTACTATAATATTACTAAATTTCAAACCGTTTTAACGCTATCATATAAACGTAGTATATTACTACGATAGATATATTAGATAATGTAAGTTTATGGTATACCCGTATGTTTTCAAAAATAAAAATGCATTGAAAATATTTTGTTTGATTTTTAATGAAGATAGCGATCGAACGCTTAAAATTAAACGTGCGTGTCTTGGCACGTTTTATTTATATGTGGAATAGGAATAGAATATTTGTTCATGTTTTATTTTTAAACGATCATCGCGATGTTCGAAACGTGTGGAGACGCGCCACGCTCGTTCGAATCTCCCAGTGTGTAATCTGTGGGTTTCCCATATTATTATTTATTATGAAATTATGATTATTAACATATATAGTTTTTCTATGATCCAATAATATGTGTTCTCTACCCGGGATATTTCAAGACTAAAATATTGTTTATAATAATCATAAAACTACATCTTACTGCTACGTCTACCTCTACGCAATAATTATAAGTTACACTTTTATACTACCTAGCTTCAATTTTGTGAACACGCACTACTCTCAAGCAGTGGCGTATTCAGAATTTTTTTTTTTTTTTTTTTTGGGGGGGGTTATAAAAAATGGAACATTACATTTTTTTTGAATTTTGTGTGTTTTTATTATAATCAATAAACAATTTACATACACTAAACATTTTCGGGGGGGGTATAACCCCCTAACCCCCCCTGGATACGCCACTGCTCCCAAGACACACTTTATTTGTCATTTGTTGTATGTATCACGTGTGCCGTTTTTTTTTTTTTTTTAATAACATATATAATATATATAATCAGTGGCATAGACACAATTTTTTTCTATTGGAGGGGAGGTGGTTAACTATAATATTATATAATATAAAATTAAAAAAAAATACTTGTATTTGTATTCAAATACTTAGTGAGTATTCGTGAAATACATTTTTATAATAGTATTTTATAAGTATTTTTAATACTATTTTATTCGAATACTAGTATTAGTATTTTAATACTTTTTCAAAAGTATTTTTTACAAGACTGCGTATTAGCATTATCAAAATGAAAAACTCGACGAAAGAAAGCGGCTATCACTTACAGTATAAATCGCTACTTTTTCCCTAGGCAACGCCGGGTAATTCAACTATCTTTTTATATGTATAAAAATATACTGCTAGCATAATTACAGGTAGGTAACGAATTTAACACACAGTTTAAAACATATAAGAGGTAGGATTTTTAACGGGCTACGAAGTGCACGGGCTCAGCTAGATTATTAAATTGATTGTTATAAAACATGATATTGCCCTAAATCTATAAATTAGATATAATGATTCATGATATTTACATTAAAATTTATTTTTATAGTTAATTGTCTATCAACAACTATTAAATCTGTAAACCCATATTTAAATGATTGAAGGTCGTATAGTTTGATTCTAGTAATTGTTTTAAAATACAATAATGTTTTAATTCGATTTTTTTTTTTTTTTACAGGTGAGCTGTTATCATAAAGTATCTAAAGTCTTTTGCCTCGGAACATGTAATTGATTATTTGATGATATTAATAATTACATCCAGATAAATATTATACGTCATAGATGTTCATTTTGTTAAAAGTTTGTGTATGGCAATACGAATATTAATTATATCTTTGTATTTCAAGCACGAAGATGTGAAAATATGAATAATAAAGTGCACACGTATTAGTTTTGAATGTATAATGATTTATGAAATGAAACATATAATGATAAGTAGGTATAGATATTATCAGTAGATTCGTTATGCCATTTGTGTATTGTCAATTTTATCGCGATCCTCGTTAATCGTCATAACAAATTATATAACGTATAATTTAAATATATTTATACGATACATTGTATATGTAATTTATAATGAATTTAATATTTTGACGTATGTACAATATTAATTCCATTGAAAGTAAATTACTTTTTTAAAACCCCAATATCTTTGTAAAATCTATAAAGCCATTTTCTTTTTTCGTTTTAAATTTATGTATCAAATAAAATCCTCATTATTACAAATATTTTATTTTGCTTCTTAAAATTTTGAACAAATCCTAAAGATTAAAGGTACATTCAAATTTACTATTTTAATATTCATAAATTAGATTTCTATGATTTTTATCAGTTGAATTTTCCAAGTGTATTTATAAATGTATAAAAATAAATATGTATAAAAAAGCATATTTTCGGGGAAGGTTTTCGGGTCCTGATCTTCCCAGAAGAAGAAAAAGGGATCAGAAGTCATAATTAACTTGCTACGAAGGTACAAAGAAAGAGAGCATTAATTTATATCACGTTGCATAATATTTGTATGATAATATAATTATTAATTCATACTTTACGAGTATACGTATTTTTTTTAATATTATGAAATCGATTTTTTTTAAAAAATATTTTTAAAACTTTTCCCACCAAAATTTTTTAAAATACATATCTTATATATACATATATATGTTTACTTTACACAGATCAGAAACAAATATATAATTGATTCTTATCTAATCATATCATTACTAAATGACTAATGTTTAATATAAATATAAACAGTTTAAGAAGCTCTTTGGCTATATCTATGATATAATGCTGGCAATCGCCGAATTCCGCCCCGAGTTGCTGAAAATGACCGAATTCCGTCCCGGAGGCGGAGCAACTATGTCCAAATTCCGTCCCGGGGGTGGATAAACTATGTCTGAATTCCGTCCCGACTAGTTTTGGACGGTATTAATATAAGTTCAATTTTTATAGAACTTCAAGAGGCTTCACCTGACATCATGCGTATCGTTTTTTTGTGTTAATTAATTTATATCAAAATGCGGAGTACATTGCCAAAATCAAAAATAACATTGGAGAGAGAACAGTTTTTAAATGATAAAATGATGCTTTGGAAAAGTCGAAACAGATCGACACCAGTTTGTGTATCAGGTGTCGTCTAAGTTTTTACCAGCCTATTTCAAATCTAAAAAATAATAATTAAAAAAAAAATAAATAATTTAAATACTAATTACACATAACATATATTATACTTATACTTTTAAATGTATTAAAATACTTATATGACCGTCATATTTATAAATAAATGGCATATACTGTAAATGGAGTTTTTTTTGCTCCGTATATTAATAATAAATAAATAAGGCTGATTTTACATTTTTAAACATGCCAGCAAAGCTACCAGTTCTAAAGCCTGGAGAAAATGCGAAGGAAAATATTACTGCCAAATATACCATAGTTACAGGTCGTAGGACGGAATTCAGACATAGTTGCTCCATCTCCGGGACGGAATTCGGTCTTCAGTTATGGAACCATAGGGGCCCGGGACGGAATTCGGTACCAGCCATAATGCTAAGTATGATGCATAGTTGTATAATACGCATCTGCTCTTCTTCATCACTCACCAAATTATTATCAAATATGGTTAATTAATTATTTCATATTAAAAATTTTAGAAAATTTACTTATTTAAAGTAATAATAATTATTTAGAAACCGTATTGATTACATTTAAAATTAGTATGAACATTAATTTAATAGGTAGATATTTTTACCAAATCAATAATAATAGAAACGAGATATTCCTTTACTGCCAGAAGAATTTGAAGTCCTATTAATAGGTTAACCGTGGTAAAATATCAGCACCATATTTGCGCAACATAAGACTAAAATACGATTATTGATATCATATCTAACTTATTATATCTTGGCCACATTATTATTTGTTAATAATTATATAGTAAATTAAATTGATAGAAGCATGATTATACCTGATTCGTATCAATTGTTATTTTTTTTATATTTTTTTTTTACTAGCGGATAAGTCTTTTAGTAAAAACTATTTGCATTTCAATGTGGGGATGTGGAGAGGAAAATTAAGTGAATACAATTTATTTTATTCAAATTTTTTGAGGACATTTCGTTTGGAAGATATAAATGAATATAGATACATATATATATATATAGTGACAGATGACAATATTTAACTTTTTATAATAACTTAATTAAAAATGAATCCTAAACAAATTACAATTACCCTGGGATTCACAGGCTATCGATGTTAACTGTGATTATATGTATATGAAATATAAAACGATATTATTTTTGATACGAATAATACGTATGCCTGGGTATTTGTTGTTACATGGAAAAAGTCACAAATATGTGTGAGCCCATGGTAACTGGTTACAATAATGAAAAAAAATAAATACTGATTCGGAGTAACATATAAACGCTTTGCAATACTTTTTCACTATTACCGTAGTTGGTACTATAATATATTATATTTCTTTTCATTGCTATACCGGTATGGCCAAATGTAATACTATGAATTTCAGTAA